TTATGGCTCAAGCTCCTCCTCTGCAGCAGCTGCTCCGGCTGCTCCTGCTGCCGCCTATTCCAACCTAATATAGATAGATACATTCAATAAACGAATAGATGCTCAATTAATTATTCAGATAGAGAGTTATGCAGATACGCAGATTAAGTGTACTTATCCATTTTCTCCTTCACATTTCATTCATTATTTACAGTTTCATTAACATTTCAAGTGAAAATAAGAGTGTAGCAAGAACAGTTAAAAAAGAATAGTTGCAGAAAAAATCTAAAATAGTCTGTTTAAAAATACACAAATAATCACTGCAAAGACCAAAAAACGTTCAAAAAACTGTCATAAATAGGTTCAAAAATATTGAAAAACAGAAAGTTTATTTATTATGCAGGGTTACTATTTCCCATTAGTCAGAATAACTGCACTGAGACTATTATTTCTTCAATGCTTCAGCAAAATTTATTAGTCCTATTCGTTACCTCTCTCTTACTTCCCACTCTGCTCTCTTTCTGATCATATTCCTTTTCCTAGACCCAACCATTGTTGACCATCTTAGTAAAAATGTAGCCTACTTGAATGCTCAAATGTATTACCATTTTGATATAGCAAATTCGCAAAGAAGGGATAAGAAGATAAACAGAAACAGAAAACTAAATTAAAAAAAAATTTCTTTCATAATGCAATTTTCTACTTTTGCTTCAAATGTTATAAATTTCACTTTTTTTTGATTTTTGCTGAAACTTTTTCATTTTTTTCAAACAGTTTTGTTTTAATTAAACTCTTATTAAAAAAATTACCTTTTTTAACGAAAGAAAACTGTTGCAGTTGCAGAGTAAACTTTTGATAAGACAATTTTGTTAATTTCAAAAACTTCCTAATGTGATCAATTTTGATGATGATTATGTTTCGTCTTAGACATATAACAGTAATTTACTGTGAAAATTACGGCGATAGTTTTGTGATTGCTATTATCGCCGTTATATCAAATTGCTGTTATAGTTTTTGGTCTCATTATAGTTAGATGTGGTCAAATAATTGATTTATCAGGGAGAGATGATAGGCGATAGACCATTATCAGTGTTAATATTACTATATTTTCATTCACTGTTATTTATGTTATTTATAATTTCATGCTATATATATAGATTTAAATGTTGAACAACAATATTTTATGCATTGGCTGAACCATATATCACAAAGCTGGTGCTCAAGGAAAAAAAATGAAGTTTATTTTTTGAAAAATTATTTGTTTGCCTCTTATCTTCTTCTTGTTTTTCTATTTGCAACAATTTGTCGCCATCATGTCTTTCAAAAATTTTCTTCTTCAGGATTTTTCCAATATAAATATAAATATATATATAAATATATATATATATATATATAT